GTGGCATGCCAATGGTGGCATGCCCTGGCATGCCAAAAACAAATTTGGCATGCCACTGGGTACAGTATAAAAATTATACAAACCATATATATGGTATTATAAATAATATATAATATTTTATGGCATGCCTTTTGGCATGCCATGGCACAAATTTTAACAAAAGGCATGCCTATAGCATGCCAAATTTTTTTTGGTGTGCCAGACACCCTAGTCGTCAACCCGACAATCTAAAAATAGATCACATAGTTCATTATGAAATTCATAAGTGATCTATGTGATCTATTTTTAGATTGTCGGGTTTTCTTTTGACGACACTCATATAATGTAGTATAAATCAAATTTAAAATTTATATCTGGTCCTTCGGACTTTGAATGGTTTCCATTTATCTAGTAATAATGATTTACTATGATTAGTTAGTAGCTTTTTTGCATTTACCGTATACAGTACCTTGTGTGACAAATAATGTAGACCAATTTTTAAAATATTATTTATATGTTCTATGTGATGTGAACAATTAAGTTTTGCACGTGATTTTTAAGTTAAAAAATGTGTCACACCGGGTACGGCATACGGTTATTAACCATTTAAAAATCTGATGTTTTGCTTGATTGAGTCGAAAGATAAACTTGAAAGCTCAATTCTTGGCAGTACCAGACATCTGACAATGAAAATACGAGATTGGAAATCATGATCAAAATTTTGATTTCGAATAAGCGATCAAAAGATTCTTCTATTTTATTTACTTTTTTTTTACGACTCTATTAGGAAATGTTTAAGGAAATATTAACATATCAAAGGTTCAAACGTTTAACAACGAAATAGAGAGATTTTATGACACACTGATCAAATTAGAGTGATTCTAGATTTTGAATCTACGAATTCAACTTTTTTTATGTTACTCAATTAGGAGGTCGTCTAAACCAAGTAGTTTTTAAATTGATTACAGTACTAACAAATTTGTAAATTAAAAATCACGTGATACATATAAATTACTACGCTTTAGGCGATTCCTCTAAGAGGAAATATTTAAGGAAACATCAAAAATACTAAGGTTCAAATGTTTAACAATGAAAATGAGAGATTGTATGACACATTGATCAGATTAGGGCAACTTTAAATTTAAATCTACGAATTCAAGTTTTTTTTTAGTTAGATTTTTACAATTAATCATCATCGCCACTTATTTTTAGGGTTAGGCTGTAGTTTGGGATATTCATATAGGAGGGTTATACAGTATAACCTCGATATAACGAAGCTCTGGAGCTGGGGATTATATCAACCCTTTATTACCGTAGTAGTTTCATTATATCGTGGTTAATTTAAACATAAAGTTAGAAATATGCCTTGTTATACAATTAGTGTATACGGTATATACTAGTTCAATTTTAGTCAGGTTAGATTTCTGGGTGTTCAGAATATTTTTGCTCCATCGGTTATCGTTAGTAATATTCTTTTTTATATGGCTCTATTAGGAAATATTTAAGGAATCATTAAAATACTAAATTCATATCTTCAACAATGAAAATGAAAGATTGGAAATTAGAGTGGTTACGAGATAAATATCGGTATTCACTTCGAAATAAATAACCATTAAAGGTTAATGCATAATATGATGTTTAAGTACACATAATGAACAAAGATAGACAATTAATAAATTTCCAAATTTCATCGTTTTTACTCAAGTGCTCTTCCGTTTTTCTCCGAACAAATTGATAGAAAGAAAAATAAAAACGACATTTTTGCCTATTTTCTGTAAATGCATTCTATTAATTTTTTTTAAATACGAAGCATATTAATGAAAGGTAAAAAAGGTAAAACCTTTAGACCCGGTGAACCTTATACGCATCGTCTGAACAAAATTCTTGAGGAATATCCGGATGGATCTCAAATCCTTCGCGAAATTCTTCAAAATTCTGATGACTCTAAAAGCCGCTCACAAATATTTTTACTGGTATATTAAATTAATCATTATTTATTTGTTTATTTTTATACTTTAATACAAACTATATAATTAATATATTAGCCTTTCTCGTTAAATAGGATCATAATACTTATCCAACTAATAAATTAATTGAGCCTCAGGTGAATGGATATGATAAAAATGACTTGAAATTAGGTCGATTTCAAGGTCCTGCTCTTTTATCAAAAAATGATGCCATATTTGAAGAACGTGATTTTCAATCATTATTGAATTTGGCAAATAGTGAAAAACGTGATCAATTCGATAAGATTGGGGGTAAGTATTTTAATGCTGCAATAATACTATAGTAGTATAATAGTAAAGTTACATAAATTATAAAATATTCATAATTTCTTTTTATTAAATAGTGATGGGTGTAGGTTTTAATTCTATATACCATATAACTGATTCTCCTACATTCATTACTGGTGATCAATATGTTATTCTCGACGTGTGTATCTATATTTATTCAACTTGTTTTTTTCATTTTGGCAACCTTACACTAATAATTTTAACTTTTATTTAGCCACATGATTGGTACTTCAATGGTGGTATTAGATATAATTTTATTGATGATAATATTGCTATCGATTATCCGGATCAATTTGCTCCATTCATTAATTCGTTTGGCATTCCAAATAATAAGGAAGTTAATGGCACTATTTTTCGTTATCCTCTCCGTACCTCTTTGGATGCTAATGATTCGGAAATTTCGAAGAATGAATATAATTCAAGTAAAATATTAGAGATATTTGATAAATTTTATAATGAAAGCATCAAATGTCTTCTTTTCTTGAATTCTGTTGAAAATATTAAATTCTTTGAGCTAAAAGAAAATGAGTCTGTTCCAAATTTGCTCTATTCGATAGAGATCGTAAATGCCAAACAAATACATAAAAAACGTGACTTAATTACTAGAAGAATTAATTCTTTGATGAAGGGGCTTAATGAGAATAAACTTTCTGGTGATACTACCTTGGAATCTGTATTTGTAGCAACTTTTCGTCAACAAAGAGGCAATGAAAAGCCACAAGAAAGTCAGTGGATTATTTTTGGTTGGCTTGGTGATTTAAACGCTACCGCAACTTATTTTAATGAAACTTTCAAGATGAAAATAACTGATTATAAGCTTATTCCAAATGTTGGAATTGCTATTCCGCTCAATGAACTTGAAACAACTGGAAGATTATTTTGCTATCTCCCTATTCCGACGATGTTAACACCATTTTGTGCCTCTGTACATGGTCATTTTGCTGTGAGTATACATTTAATATTTTTATCTGTAACTTGGAATATATCTTTAATTTTTTCATATTGTTATTTCAAAAGGTCAGCACAAATAGACGTCAAATATGGTCTACTACCGATGCCGAAGATTTGGTATTTCACCTAAATTTATGAAATCTTAAATCATGTTAAATATATTTTTATTAAATTGAACCTTTATTTCTTTTTTTATTTCGGTTTATTTCTTTTTATTCCTCTTTATTCCTCTTTATTCCTCTTTATTTCTCTTTATTCCTCTTTATTTCTCTTTATTCCTCTTTATTCCTCTTTATTTCTCTTTATTTCTCTTTATTTCTCTTTATTTCTCTTTATTTCTTTTTATTTCTTTTTATTTCTTTTAGGCTGAGGGTACATTGGCCAAACTCAAAGTTTCATGGAACGAATATCTTTTTAATATAATACTTCCACAAGCTTGGGCAAAATTTTTAATCTACCTTCCTATCGAAATACCCGATATGAATGCCAAAGATTTTTATAGTTTTTGGCCAATTGTTAAAAAATCTGACTCTGGAGGTTTTTTTAATAATCTTTTATTAAATACTATTAAGAATTTACAAGTTACTGATAATGTCTTCTGTGGTCCTTCAAAATCATTCTCGCTTGGAAACATGTCTAGTATATTACCAGCGTCTCGAAAGATTTCTATAACCTGTGAAACTATGTTTCATTTGCTGGCAATTGAAAATGGTTTCTTTCCAGATGAATCTGCTCATCCTATTATTTCAAAAATTCTTGAAAGCATAGGATTTCCTATAATTAATATTGATCCTAAAATATATATCAGTTTGAAAATATCTCACCATAAAGATTCTTTAAATATTTGCTCTCCACATGCTGTTAGAATGTATCTTATTCAAAATAAATTGAAATGGGAAAACCTAAAAAGGAATGATATTGTATCATTATTTAAATATGTATTAAAGGACGAAAATTATGCGGAATTAAATGGCCTTACAATGATTCCGTTAACTGATGGAACCTTTGGAACTATTTCAACTATTTCACAACAGGAAAACCAGAAAAAACATAGTTTAGGAATTAAATCAAAGTCAAAAAATTCAGTGTTTTATATTGGGCCTGATCGTAATAATTCCATTGGTGATAATGATGAGCGAAAAATCTTTATAAATCATTTGAACAAATTTATTGATAAAAACATTCCTTCCGAGTTATGGAATCTATTATACAAGGGTGCTCAAGGTGGATGGGACCTTAACATAAAGATCCTAATCCCATCCATAGTAGCTACTATGATCAAAGATGAATTAAATGGATATTCTGTCGAATGTAATGAGATCACATTGTGTGACTCTTATAATTGGATTTTAAAAATTTGGGCAAATTTTAAAGAAAGGGATTATGATCTGACGGTATTTGAAGATATTCATTTATTACCTACTAATAGAGGAACTCTTAGGAAATTAAAAACAAGTCGAAAATGTTTTTGGAATAGTGTCGATAAAAAACTTGACAATAATGTACAGCCTCTTATTGAGAAACTTGGCATCGTTTTTGTTAATAAGAAATTTGAAAAACTTATTACTTATAATCGGTCAAAGTACTGTTACGTCCTTTATTTTATTTTATTTTTTTTTTAAAAAAAAGATAGTTTTATTGTGCGTCTAATCTAAATTTTTTTTTTTTATATTGAATTTTATTATTTCTTAATTTTCTTAATTAGGTTATTAAAATACGTAATTGGTCTTGAAAATTTAGCAGAAGTTTTAACTTCCATAAGCAAAGATACTACATTTCCAAAAAATGTTCAGATAAAACTCAAACCTCAAGAAGCGGAAATAATGACTAATTATTTACGCTATTTATCCCCTGACAAATCTATAAATGAAGTCGTCAAATATCTTCCAATTTTTACCGAGGTTGGTAAAAATGAACTTATCGAACTTGTGTCCAGTAAAAGAAATTGGTATTTGCTTCCATCTGAAGACGAAAAAAGTTATGGAAAAATAATTGCACCAAATACTGTAGGATTTCTTGATACATCAACACCCAATAAAAGATTTCTTTTAGAAAGCATTATAAAAGTTAAACGACTATCACAGCAAGAATATTGGACTAAATTCGTGATCCCGTATTTGGAAAAACAAACTCCTACAATACTTGAAATTGTAATTATAAAACTTTTTGAACGATTACAACTTCTCCTTTCAGAAAATCAAAATTTAAAATCTGATTTGGGAAATACGGCGTTTATACCAGCAAGTGCGATTCTTAATGTACAGAAAAAAGAAAAGCAGGATGTATATTTTGAATTAAAAAAACCTTTAGATTTATTTGATCCTAATAATCATTATATTTCGGGATTATTTTTTGACAACGAACATCTATTTCCTGCCAGAAATTTCTTGGAAAAGTATCGTGACATCTTTTTGACGCAGTTAAAAACGTTGGGAATGAAATTATGGCTTTCTTCAAATGATATTGTTCAACGGCTAGATGTGTTTGCAAACCGAAGGAAGGATGAATTTGATATTGTGCATAAAAAGTCACTGAATCTAGTTCAATACATTGATAAAAATTATGATAAACATTTAGATATAAATCAATTATTACAGACAAGAGAATGGATACCAACAGTTGATTTCACTGGTAGGAAGTTATTTTCTAAAGCAAATGAATGCCGAAGCATAAAGCATAAAAATTTAGTTGGACTTGTAATGCCAATTATAGATTATTCTTTTGAGAATAAATCTTTCATTAAAAATATGCAATGGGATACTTGTCCACCTGTTGATATTGTTCTCGCTCAACTCAAGGCCTGTTCAATAATGGAAACAATACATGAAAGTACTTCCGAAATATGTGAAGAGGTATATAAATATATGAATGCGAAGATGAAACAAAATTCAAACTTGGATAAATTTAAAGAGAAGCTTAAAGACAAAAAATGGATTTTTTGCAATGGTAAATTCTATCCAACACACAAAGCTGTGATCGAACTTGATAAAAACTTGGGCAGTGGCAATTTTATACTCGTTGAACTTCCTTATGCATTTAAACCATACGAAAAATTATTTAAAGCAATGGGTGTTAAACAAAAAACAGATATCCCTCATTTGATAAAAATCATAAAAGAAATTCCTTCCAAAAAGGCTTTATCAGGTGAAGAATTACGCGATGTAGTATCGGCTATTGAGCTAATTGCAAATAGAATTGATGAACAAGGTGGTCATCACGAAAGTTTAAAAGATTTGCTAATACCAAGTACAGATTGCCAATTAGTAAATTTATATGAGATTTTATATGATGATATGAAAACAAGGTTGGATGATAATGAGAAAAATGGATTAAAAATAGTTCATTCTATGATTTCTTATTATGTTGTAAAAACTCTTGGAATAAAAATGCTTGCTGGTAAATTTGTCGACTGTAAGTTGATTTCTGATTATATTGGTTATAATGTTTTATTATATGGGGTCTTTGCCTTGAAAATTACCTTACGGTATCATGTACCGTAAGGTCATTTTCAAGGCAAAGACCCCATATTGAAAATGTTTGATTATGTGCTAATTTTATTACGCAATTACATTCTTATTTAGCTGATTATTCAGATTATGGAGAAATTTATGAACAAAGTGAACAATTGGCTGTTAGAATAAATAATATCATTAGTGTAAGTATAGTACAAGTAAACAGTGCTAGTTTTAGATCAAAATTTTTGTGCAAATACCTTATAAAATATAACTTCTGTGCAGTAAATAAAAAACTGTGCGCAATTATTTTGTCGTAACAGTTTTTTATTTCTTTTTATTGCGGCATACCGCACATCTATCAAAAAAGATATGCGCGAAATTTTGATTTTTGCGAGTTGCGCGCAATACAGTTATGCCTCATTCCCCGACGGCCATTTACATATGTATATGTTGGTAAATGGCCTATAGAGTAATGACTATCAAAGAAATGATTTTTAATGTAATAAATAGTTCATAAATTAAATATTGCTCATTATAAATTTTAGGATTATTCGATTGAATCAATATTTAACGAATTTCTACAGGTATGAAAAAGCATGCATTTTTTTTTTATTATATTTTCTATGTATAATTTATAAACTTGTTATTTTTATAGAATGCGGATGATGCAGGAGCTAGAAAAATTCGGTTTGTTATTGATCATAGAAAATGTAATGAATTGACTTTTAATTTACCCGACCAAAATGCAGACAAACAAAATTCATTATTATCCGATGAAATGAATCAATGGCAAGGACCGGCTCTATGGATATATAATGATGCAGTTTTTACTCCACATGATTTTGTATCCATAAAGAAACTTGGAATGGGAGGAAAGAGAGATGATGAAACAAAAATAGGAAGATTCGGAATTGGTTTCAATTGTGCATACCATTTGACCGACTTGCCTAGCTTTGTAATAAATTTTACTGCATTAAATGCGTGTTTTCTAAATCTTTAAATAATAAACTAATTCCTTTTAATTTTATTTTAAAATAAAGGTTAGTGGAGAGCACATAGTTTTCTTTGACCCACTACAAAAATTTTTGCCAAAAACTGGAAACCCACCTTCAAGTCCTCGTGGAGTAAAACTTAATTTTATTGATAAGGATTTTAAAAAACGATTTGAAAATCAAGCATCTACATATGTCAAAATTTTTAATTGTGAATTTAAAAAGAAATTTAATGGAACTTTATTTAGATTACCCCTACGAACAGCAGAAAGTGAACTATCAAGTCAAATAGTAAACCCAAATGATCTTAAAAGCAAAATTTTTGAAAATATACAAGGAAGTCGTGAGATGTTATTTTTAAGAAATATTGAACAATGCAGTTTACATCAAATGGATGAAACGGGCAATCTAGATTTAATTTGGGAGGCAAAGATTCAGAATATTAATGATATTCGAGAACTTCGTATTTCTCATTCAGATAAGGCAAAATTATATCAACTCGAAATGGAAATATGTTGTAGACAAAATCGATTCAATATAAACAGGAAAAGTTCAGAGATTTGGTTAATCTGCACTGGTGAAGGTGATTTGATAGACAAATCAAAATTTGGAGAAAGCTCTAAAGAGATTAATCTTGCAGTAAGTTATCAATTAAATAATGATAATTCTATGTTAAATAACTAACTGATTATTTTTAAGGCAAGAGGTGGTGTTGCTGCGTTATTGTCTACGGGAGAAGATAAATCATTGAAAGAGCTTAAAGCTGAAAAGGTAGTATAACTATTATATATTGTATTATAATTATGCGTGTGATGGCCTAGTTAACACTTAATATATTAATATATTAGTTTTCCAGTATTCCATCACTCAAGGGGAAGGTTTATTCTTATCTTCCACTACCAATGTTTACATCTCTTAGCGTTCATATCAATGGTGCATTTTTCCTGTCTAGTGATCGAAAGAATATCGCTTTACAAGCCAATAGTGATTTCATAACAGCAGAAACTAAGATTGAGGACTTAATATCTATGTCTGAGGGCATGCCCAATATTAAGTCCTTTTTCAAAAAAATTTTGATATACATTAAAAATCGTCTTACAAAAAATAAATCAAAAAAACTAGAAGAAATTCGTCATGTAAATGATAAATCAAAAAAACCAGAGGAAAGTTTCTCAATGTCCCCAACCCTAGATGAAACAACAATTAAAGGAGAATGGAATAGCTATATTTTGTTGGATGTCTTACCTAAACTACATGCCAAACTTTTAGAACACGTAACCAATCAATTGATGTCGCCATTTAATGATCAAATTTTTTCACAATTGTGGCCAATAACGTTTTCAACTTCAAATATATACCGAGAATATGGGTTAAATGTGCTCCGGGAATTATACACTAAAGGATATAAAGTTTTTTGGTCCGAAGCAAATGGAGGTTCTCTTACTTCATTAGATAAGGCGTATTTTGTCGCCTCAAATGATTCAACTATTGCAGATTTTCTTATATCTCGAGGAGTAAATTTAGAAATTGTCAAAATATCTGAAGATAAATTTAATCATATTAAAGAGATGATTATAAAAATGAAATTTTCGTCTACCAAATCAATTACTCCGGAATTAGTTTGTTCTTTGCTTCGGAATAATCCAAATATTCTGAAGGTTAAAAACGAAAAGTTGCATAAGATAGCATTTCAGTTATTAAATTTTGTTATTCAAGGCGACTATAAACAACTAAAGGGTTTACAATTACTACCACTTTGTGATAAATCCTTAGGAACTTTTGGTTCGCAAATATATTACCTTGCGAAACAAGAATTCCGAAATTTATTTCCTAATGCATTGTCAAAGTTTGTTGCTGATCTACCTTTGAATCTTCAAGAGATCTTTAAGGACCTATATTTTTACAATGAGCTCAAAATTAGATCTTTAGACGCAGATTCCACTATTGACTTACTAAAATTTGTGCTAGAACGTGATAAAGAAATTGATTGGATGCCCTCCGGAAAACAATATCCAAATGAATATTGGATTGGGAAAATACTGTCAATATTCACAGCACCGGATGCAGTATATGACTTTAATAGGCTGTCAAGATATCCAATATTGTCAACTTGCGAACCTTATAACAAACTAGTTTTACCAGATCGGCTTAACCCTTTATTGATGCTTTTTTCAGATCGCCAAATGGTATCAATACTCGTAAAGCTTGGTGTCAGATTCACAAAGATAAGTCTGAGTGATGATTGTAACCCAAATATTAAACAATGTATCTTGCAACCAACTACAACAAATAAGATTAAATCTCTAGAAATGACTATTAAAAAGCTTTCAATACCTTTGAAACAATTATTTGATGAAAAACTAGATGAAAATGATATTAAAAGATTAAGATCATTTATCAAAAATGAGTTTATTACTGATAAAAGTAAGCATTAAAAATTACCTTCTTATAATACATAGTTTGCGGTCTTTATTTCTTGAACTTTGTATTTATTAATCATATTTATTTAAATATACAGTGGATGATGATAAAGATAAATTAATTCAATTTGTAAAAACCTTACCTATATGGCTTACCCAGTCACGTAGTACTTGTGTATCCGCTCAAGAAGGAATGTTACCTGAACCCGAAATTCCTTTATTCAATATTAAGGGAAAATCAAATATTTTACTTATAGAATCTGATTCAGACTTTTCCACATTGCATAGTATAGGCGCCAAAGTTATTGATGCGGGGAAATATTTTAAAAAGCATCTGGACTTACAAACCATAAAATTGGATCAGCAATATATTGAATTTATAAAGGCGGTCCTTTCTTTAAAAAAAAATGATATTGAAAACTATTTATCATCGCTTAAAATAGTTCCCGATTATAATCTCGCAAAACTTGTCAGAGCGAATACTTTGTATGATATAGATGTCCCACTTTTTCGTAGAATTTATTGGGGTACAGGCAAATTTCTACACCCTGCTTTACAGGAGAATATTAAATGTTTAAATGTTCTAAGAAGAATGGGGTTAATATCTCAAGTCAATTCTCAGACGTTTCTTGAATGTGTACGTGAAATTGGTTCAAGAATTCAGACAAATCAATCTGATCTGCTAAAAAATGATGCAAAATTCCTAATCGAATATTTATATGAACACTTGACAAATTTAAATTTCACAGTTGATCAATGGCAAGAGTTGATATCGATCAAATTCGTACCAGTAGATACGGATCTGGAAAGTCCATTAAATGAAACTGCTGTTGTAACAACAGGATTTGAATCGATGAATTCTATGTGCTATCAAGAGTATAAACTACTCTGTTGGACACAGTGTCCATTATTTTTAAAATCAATAGAACCACCAAATCCATTTAGAATTAAATTTCCTGAATTAGGTCATCCTACAACTAGTACGATTTTTGATAATTTATATTATGTCTCGAAGAATATATCTCGGTCGGGAAACGAATCATGGAAATCACCAAAAGGAATTCAATTAATTCTGGATATTGTAAAGAAGACATATGAAATACTAGAAAATCGACTTAAAAATAATGAGATTTTCGATAATGAAATAGTCTCACATTTACAAACTAGTGCAGTATTTTTGAATGGTAATGATCCCTTTATCCCTGAAGATTGGGTTGCAGGAAATACTCTCGTATTCGGTGCAAAGAAAGATATTGGGACTGAGTTTCATAAAGTCCATAATAATTTGAAAAGATTTGGGTTACTATTGAAAATTGCCAGAGCCAGGAAAATCGAAAATATTGAATTCAATGTAGAACCTCAAGTTTATTCGCAAAAAGAAAAGTTGTCTAGTGGGCTTTTAGATAGATTTGAAGAACAGGATGTTGCAAAGCATCATGATGTCGTGTTTCAAGTTCATCATGAAAGTGGGATTGAGAAAATCAAAGCTAATCGATATGTTCTTTCAGGTATATATTTGCTTAAGTTGTTTTATATAATTGCTTGTAATATTGGTTATTTATTAAATTATGAATTCACAGTTGCTTCGGAATATTTTAATGCAATGTTCTGTGGAAAAATGAAGGAAGCTACAGAGTTTCAAAAAGTAACTGTTCCCATCCATGGTGTCGAACCTACAGCATTCCATGTTCTAATTCGTTGGTTACATGGTCAAACACTTGAAGAAGCAATTTTAGCAGTTTTTAAAGATTCATATAGGATTGGAGACAATGTATCTTTAGTAATGCCTAAGGGTTATGCCCAGAGAAACATACCTAAGGGTCATGCCCAGAGAAATATGCCTAAGCGCAAGCCCTTTTTCAAAAAAATTTTTACACGCATATATATAAAAAATCGAAAAAATCGTACAAAAAATGTCTCTAAATCAAAGAAACCAGAAGCATGTCCAGGAAGCATGCCTAAATATTTTTCAGCACTTTCAAATTTAAATACGAGAAGTTCTGGTGAATTTCTGGTTGATTTGCTTAAGGCTTCAAATTTATATCAAATAGATCCACTAAAAAATCAGGTTGAAGTAATGATAATAAAAGGATCTTATGTTAATATTGACAATGCCGTTGAAATTAATGAATGGGCGAAATTCCTTAATGCAAACCAACTTAACAATTATTGTAATGAATATATAAAAGCGAATAGATCACTTTTAATAGATAAACAGAAAAACGAAATAGCCAATGCAGATAACGAAGAGGATAAAAGAGCCAAAGTAGATATGCTAGAGGCGCTAAAGGCTGACTTGCATTCTTAGTTTTATATGATTTGGTAGTTTCATAAATTTATCGGGATCTTTTTTCAAATGTCATAAAATTTGGATACTTATTAACAAAATTTTATTAATTGAAGTGTAAATTGTTAGTATTATATGAGTGACGCCAAGGGAAAATGGACATTGGTCTATTATTGATTATTTATTTAAATAAATAATAAGTGATAAACCAATCCTTTGGCATCACCCATATTATGTATTGTGTTAATTTTTATCTCTTATTGTATTAATATATGAATATAATTATTTTATTAACTTATTATTTTATTTAACTTGATTTGTATTGGACAAATAAATTAATATATATTACCAAACACATATATCAGGAACGGAGTGATATTGAAAATACGTAGTGTATAGTTATATGGCAAATTAAATGTCGTTCGTACGCAAAATCTTGCATCTTAAATTATCGTATCATAATTTTGTATTTTTTGTAGATAATTAGTATAAATATTGTTGACTATAGCATTGATATGGGGTTTTATAGTTACGTATTATTGGGTAATTAATTAGTTAGTTAGTTAATAAATTATATAATTCTTATGAATTTAAGATTGGTAACGGTAACTCTTGTTTGTTAATTTATTGTCGATTGTGTAATCTATATATACATAATTAGAACGTGTTTTGTTTAGAAAAAATTTGTTTAGAAAAAATTTGTTGTTTTTTTTGTTTGGTTATGTGATTAATTAATTAGGTATAAATAGCTTGAATGTTAGTAGTTATTTGGGGTTATTAGGTTGATTTGTACATATTTTACTAATTGCATTTGAATCTTTTGGGATTTTATATTTAAGAGTGTATTAAAATATATATGTATGTATGTATTTACATCAAAGATAAATTTTTAATTGGCAAAAAATTATTTAGCTAGTTTGTTGTAATCTTAGAGCTTTGATTGCTAAAGTTTATTATTTGTATTTTTGCTGTGATTTTTTAGTAAAATTTTCGAGGATTGTTATAATTAATTATTAGCCATCTTCTTAAACCAATTATCTATTGTTTTATGAACATCCCAAGCATCAGGATGTTCTCGTGGATCAGCACTTCTTTATAGCATTTAGGAGTTACAGGTGCAAACTCTGGTCGCAATCCTTTGCAAATTTTGATTGTAGGTTGAATTATAACCATCAAAAGGTCTTTGTCCATTTGACATTTCTGCTATAATCAGTGTTAATGTGGACTGGTCAATAGTCAAGTTTGACCAGACCAGTTTGACCAATTTGACCGGTCCGGTCAAAGGGTTTAGTATTGGTCAAATTGGTCAAATGACATTTAAATATATAGTTCATATATGTATATAGTATATATACTATTTTTATTTTATTAATAGACTAAGCCATTTGACCAATTTGACCAGACCACTTGACCAATTTGACCAGACCAGTTTGACCAGTGAATTTTTGGTCGACCAGTGATTTAACCAACACTGGCTATAATAATACCAAACCCATAAATATCTGCAGCATGTGTAAACTGCTGTTTTTCTGCTAAGATTTCAGGAGGAACATAAGGCATGACACCATAAGCTTTGCTTTCTGAAGCGTTATCATCTTTCTTTTTAGACAATCCTAGATTTGTGATATAAGATTGTTGGTCTTGCAAATTATTACCACTATGAAAATCAGCATGAATGTATGCACATTTGTGAACGTTATCTAGCTTATCTGAAATATCTTTAAGTGTCTGCAATTTGGTCTGCAAAGTAAGTTTATTAAAAATTTTTGTAAATATTTATAAAGACCCTCATCATTAGCATACTGAAATACCATCAAATATTCATTTGTTTTTGTGTTCTGAGTTATTCCATATATTGCAAGCATCGTATAATTTAAAACTTAAGGTTTAAACGATGAATTAGTTCAGTAAACTATTCTTAATAAAATCAATGAATTATCAAGCCAATAAATAAATTTACTTCTCTTAAAAAATCAAAATTGTTTTCCTTCAAACTAGTTAACGTTTTGAGTGCAACGATACAGGATGGTTCATGTGCTCTTTTGTAAATGTAGCTTTCATCAACTTTTCATATATCATCCAACCAGGTTGCTGAATATACAGAACTAAATCCACCTTTACCAATTTCTTTAATATCAGATAATTTATCAAATATAATCCATTCAATTGCGTTTTCATAACTCCAGGCTCTAAGTTGGAATTCCTTCATGCAATCATCAATATCTTTATTTCCAATTGTCCACCTTGTTGTTATGTCAGGGTCACATGGTAGACACTATACTTCAGAAGTGTTATCTTCATTACAATGTGAACATTTTCCATATTTGGCTTGTCTATATAATATATAATAATGTTTTATTTCGTATCTGCAATTTAAACTTTATATCAAATGTAAATAAATGAATTTACTGACTAAATTAATGCGAATGAAATGAACTTGTTTTGCTTTTTTTAGTTTCATTGATTAATAAATGTTCTTTATACTCACGTGCTGAATAAAATGATTAATATGAATGAAATAAATTTAAGCATAATGGTAAATACTTATGATCTTGATTGTGAAGTTATTTTGCTGTTTTTAATTCCATTGATAAACAAATATTCTTTATACTTGCTGAGTGAGATAGGCAATTAATACGAATGAAATGAATTTAAACGTAATGGTAAATAATTTTACTTATGTTCTTGTTTTGTAAACTTGTTTTTATTTCTAAAAATTATTAAATTCTTTATACTCACGGGCTAAAATACCAATATCATGGGCAGTATAAATTGTGACTACGCAAAATGTGATTCAAACATCGATTGAGACCTGGATCGATGCACAATCGATGATTGTGCATACAATGATGATGCCCCCAGATTTTGGCATTCATAATCAACTCAAAATTGGGTGAAACCTGCACATTTGGGTCTCATACAATTGTACGATTCATAGATGGGCATACTATTAAATTAGGAAAAGATAATGAAGTTTCAAAATGGTGGATCTGGACAGGTTTGTGGTAAAGGAAAAAGAGTCGGATTAGTAAAAGTAGAATAAATAAAAATAGAAAATGTAGAAGTGATTTACCCAAATCCAGTAAAATGGCCAAATAGTATGGTGGAGTCAATGGAAGTGGTAGAAAAGGGATCTAAAAGAAAAAAAAAGGAATAAAATTATTTGTAAAAAAACAAAATGTATAAAAGAGAAGAGAAAATTTAATAAAGTACTCATATTTCCATGCGTCTAAAATAATAGTAGGAGCAAAAGATCAAGTATTAATAATTTTTATTCCATAATTAAAAACCAAAACTATAAATAAAATATCAAATAGTTTGATACTCGCCAAATCGTATCCACACCTCTATAAAAGCCTAAAACATTGACAAAATGTAATATTTCTGGACTTCTAGCGACAGACTCACTGTGTTTGTGCCCAACATCAACAATAAATAAAAGTTTATGAACTTAAATAAATGTACTTTATACTTACTCTCAATAAATAAAAATTGTATAAGAGATCTTAATTTCAAATAATGAAATTACAAAATATTATAATAAAAAAATTAAAAATTAACTTACTTTTTATATCATTCCTAGAGTTTATCTTTATCCTTCTCAATGCCAATTTGATAAAGGTAACAAACAGCAGTTTTCAAATTTCCATAGAATTACCAGCCTCAGCAAATTTCAGATAATATGGGCTAGGTGCTGCGAAAAGGGACGAAATTGACAAAAACAAAGATCTTCAGAAAATCAATTTTTATGTAATAAATCATAGGAAAATATAAACTTTAAGAAGCTATATTGCAAAATTTTATTAATACAACTACTTTTGTTTCTTAAGTGAAAAATGATCCTAATATTATTTTAAATTGATTTATGTAAAAAAATGTCTTTTAAAAAAATTGTCGATTTCATCCCATCTAGCCTATATGTAAATGCTTTATAACAATAACCAGCTTGATACATTCTGTTAGAATTATTCATGTCTGCTGATTTTTAATAATGCATTAATGCTTTGTTTTCATCCTTTTCAATTCTAATTTCATATTTATAACAATAACCAAGCCAGAAAATTCTGTCTGGATTGTCCGTATCTGCTAATTTTTGACAATTAGAGAAATTCAGTTTGTTGAAACCATCAATTAATGTGGTCAAATTTTCATTGAACATTTTTGATTAAAAAATAAAAAAAAAATGGATACGTATTTCAATTTTCTGTTACTGTTTTTTTTTATTTATTTATAGTGGTTATATATGCAATACTCTAAATTATGCAGATGTTGTTTTCAGGCTACAAATATAGCAGGCAGATATCATTAACTAAAAAATTCTGCTACAAACCTTACTATTTTGACAATATGCAGTATGTGACTCACCAACACATACTACTAATATTATCTATATCTTAGTTAATCTAATATCTACAAAGTTCGTATAGTGAACGAAAGTCACTTCTTGAAAATCATAAATGTGAATAAGAATAACTGATCGTTTTTCTGTATCCACATTTTAATTTTCACTTATCTTTACCATTTAATTTTGGGTTGTATACTTTAACGTTTTTTATTGGATATATATTTTAACATTTTTAATTAATTTGATTTGATTTGATGAAAATTGTTGGATTAACAACAGTTATGGACAATAGTTATATGTCAACAAACAAGTACTATGCTGTATTGGGCTATATGCCCTTCTCCCAATTCTTTATATATACTTATTCAAGATTCTTTACAACAAATTTTATCTGCATACAAACTTCAAATCTCTTTACCTGAAGCTAATTACCTACACAGCCAAATTATCAATCTTGATAGCTTTTTAATACATGACTCTCTTGACAAACCCTCTATTTTCTCTACACTTTCTGGTCTCGTCCCTTATGATATTATATATACAATACGTGAATTTACTACTTCTAACCAATTAGCTATTTCAATTTCTATACAACTTCTTCTCTATATCAACAAACAACTTTACTCAAATATCTGGATTCCTTATTGTAGTTCAAGACCTCAACCTTAACTTATACAACCTCAGTCATCATCTACACCTGAATCCTTACACAATACACTTCTTACATCTGATACTTCTACTATTCTCCAAATATCTTTCTTAAAAGTATCATCCTGGTACTCTAACTGTATTAATTATCGTATACACCCTTCACATATTTTCAATCTAGCTCAGATCTAGGTGAGCTTTGGCCACTCTAGTAGGTTTAGGCTGCAGATAAGTTACTAGGTATACTTAGTTTCTAGGTTTTCTTAATTATATGTCTGAGTTCTTATTCTTAGCACTAGGCTTAAAATACAAAACCTTTTTTAATCATGTAAAAAGTTTTCATTAAGTTTAATAAAGATAAGAGCAAGGTCTCACCTTAAATATTAAAAAATAAATAAATAAATAATAAAAAAAAGCTAAACTATAATATATAATAGAATAAAAAAGAACATTTACAATAAGCGTCCACCATATATCAAGTCTGGTTACTTGACTGGTAACTTTCGCAAATTATGTCACTGATAAGATTTCAGTTCTTTATTCTAAATATAAAAATTAAAAAAATCTAAATTATAAGTTAATTGAAAATTTCTCTGTAAACGATATTCATGGTGTAAACATTCGTCGTTCCGTTGTCAGATTCGTCAGTTTGTAGATTTATTAACAAAATTTTAATACTATGATATGAAGTCACTCTAGAAAGAGCTACATAGAGTTGACTATGTGAAAAAACTAGTTGTGGCAGATATAAACCAACTAAGGAGATTGTTTGATCTTGTCCTTTATTGATAGTCAAAGCATAGACCAAACGAACTGGAAATTGTTTACAAATTAAAGTAAATGGGTAAACAGTATCAGTTGGGAATAAAGTCATTTTTGGAAGAAAAACTCTTTTTCCAAGAAATAATCCTGTAAGGATTTCACAATCTAGAACATAATTATGAAATTCTCTTACAATAAGTCTAGTTCTATTGCATAAACCTTCAAAAGAATTCAAATTTCTTAAAAGAATTACAGGTACTCCAGCTTTAAGAATAAGCTTATGTGGTGGCAAGCTACTTGGAGTAAGTGTGTTAAGAAATTTTATAGAATATAAACTCTCATGTACTGAGTCATTATCCTCAACTGAATCAGTAGACAAATATGTTTGTCCTTCTTCTGGAACTAAGTCAAGTATTTGATAATTTATTAATTAAACATCATCATTTTTAGGTGTCAAAATAGCACTTTCAATGATATAATTTATATTATTGTAATTATTAAAAATATTAGAAAATATTTCTGATATTAAGTCATTAACTGTAGTGCCATTTATAATCATTTGCTGTGGCACTTTAATATAATCCCCTGCTATTGTTGGTTCTCTACCTTCACCAATTTTCAACAAAAAGTTTACAAAACCTTATTGTGATGGATTTTGTAAAACTCTCATATTAATAGTTAATCTCATCATATGAGTATCACCCCAAAAAGAAGCTTTTTTCAAACTTGAATTAATGACTTGGGTTCTGGAACCCCAAGGAACTATTGGTAATATTTGTCAAAAGTCACCACCAAATACTACTATTTTTCTACCAAAAGGTTCAAGTTGATTACCCATTATGTCCTTAAAACTTTGATTAACAGCTTCATAAGCTAACTTGTTAATCATTGGGGCTTCATTCCAAAGAATAATTGCAGCACTTCTAATTAGACCTGCTAATTCAGATTGCTTATGAATATTACAGGTAGATTTTTCTGTAAATACTAAAGAGATCTTAAATCTCGAATAAGCAGTTCTACTACCAACAATGAATAATGCTGCAATGCCAGAAGAAGCAATAGCTAAAGCAACATATCCTCTGCTTCAGATATATGCTAATAAAATATTATACAGATAGGTTTTTCCAGTTCCACTAGGCCCATCAATGAAAAATATTTTTTGATCTCCATTATAAAAAACAGAAATAATTATTGTATCAAAAATTAACTTTTGTTCTGGATTTAAAGTATCTATTTTTGATAAATAATCATCAAAATAAATCTGTTCATAATTTGTTTCTTTAAATAATAACTGATTTGTTGCCCTTTCTTGAGATTGTTCCAAAAAAGCCAAATTAAGAATTGGAAGTTCAGGAAAATCTGAAAGTGATTTTCTATTTTGAAATAAATATTTTTCAAGATCCAAAAGAACTTGGGTGATTATTCTTGGATCATTATAATCTAATGCAACACGTTTAAAGTTTGGATTGTATACAAAATTTTCTGATAAAGCAGGTAGATGAGTATTCCAAAGTTCTAAAACATTTGTAGGCCTGCAATATATTAAAATAGTTGCAAATAGTTGCCTTAGTTGTTTAGACATCTGATAAAGTGATACTTCTCTAAGACACAAATCCTACTCTTGGTTATTTTCCATTAAACCAAGTTGGATTGCAGCTATTTTAAATGTAGGATATACAATATTGTTAACAGTTCTCAAATGCTCAAAAGATGTTGGTTCTTTGACATGAGTTAAGAATAATCTGAGGCAATATCGTTTCTCATCTCTTGGATTAACCATATATATTTTAGTAATAGTTTTATCACCTCGTTGCTTTCTTGCTTTCCATTAACTATTGCTCCAAGTAAAATGTTTTGGAAAATTAGTGTATAAAAGATCACTTGCAAGTGGATTATCTGTACAAATTTTAAAAAATTTTGTCAACTTGGTATCTATCTTTTCATTCAATAAATTAGATATGCTTATTAAACTATTATATAATACCATATGTTGTTTTTCCAAGTGCACAGGTATGATGAGATTTTTCTTGAAGATTAAAATCGAATATTCTCTAGCAAGCTTCTGATGCAAAGACATATCTTGCATCTAAATAAGCTTTAATCTCATCAAAATTATTTTGATTATTCTGACAATTATTCTGATTATTATTCTCATTATTATTATTCTGATTATTTTGATTATCAGAATTATTATTAGAATTATTATCAGAATTATCTTCAACAGAAACAATCGCTCTATCCAAACCTTTGTAAATATATTTATAAAGATATTTTACTGATCTAATGCTAGAACATATCTCTACATTGATATAACAATTATACTTTAAACAAATGTTTGGATTATATGGAACTACCTATCTGTTATCAAGTCTATGGCCAGATTTTACAACTGAAAATCAGGAAATCTTCTACGATAAACAGGATATCTATTTCGATTAATAACAGTTGTATCGCTGAAATCACATGGATAATTTTTACTACATTTGCCATCTTTCATACATGGAGAAGACCAGTTTAAATATCCACAAGGTCTATATATCATGTTTTGAGTGACAATTTCATAAAGCCGAGGTTGTGTAAGTGGATTTGGAATCTCAGCAGAAATTAAATTGTCATAATCATCAGAAGATTGTGGTTTATCTTCTGGAGTAAGTATTATAAGTATATGGGCACATGGTAGGCCTCGTTTTTGAAATTCAATTACTTGAATATGAGTTACATTATATCCCAAACTACTTTTTTTATACAAATCATTAGTGATTTCTTTTAACTTTAATTTAAAGACCCTTGATGTAAGATCTGGTCTATCATTGTATTTCTGGCTATGTAAAAGCTCATTAGTTATCTCAGACCAAGTAGGATTACAGGTAACAGTTACAAAAAGATCTGGTTTGCCAAATTCTCTCACTGTAGCCATGGCATCTTGATATAACTGTTGCATATATCGTTTTGAACCTGTAAATGATAAAGGCAAAATAACTTTTCTTCCATCAACTTCATCATTATTAACAATATCCTCTAATCCTTTATAAAATTCAGCTCTTAAGTGAGTTTGATTTTTTCTATACCATCTCAAGTTATTTTGCTTCCATTTAGTATACTGATCAACAATATATTGTTGAAATAAATGTCCTGCAAGATGCAAAATACTATTACAATCTCGAATTTGCAATCTATAACATGCAAACTCTCTAATTGTGACATATCTTTCTTTGGTCTGAGAACTATTAAGATTATTAAAATTATTAGGATTTAATTGCAAAGATTCCTCTAATTCATTAGCATTGTTATTAGGTATAATATTTTGCAAAATACCAGTATGCCATCCATATTCACCTCTTGGAAAAAGAAGTGGGTACTGTAATGGATCATAGGCACCATGTAATTTTGATATATGACACAAAAAACTCTGTAGTGTAGTAAGAATAATATCTCTACCAGAGTCAACATCATCATTGTCATCAATAATTGCTGCAATTTCTGAAGCTGTTGGTGTGTTATAAGTTCTCATATCTTGACCATGTGTTGATGAAATTCTTAATCTCAAATTAGAATTATCTTGAACTTGCTATCTAGCACTTTGAAAAGTTTGGACAAAAGGATTAAGATGATTAAGTTTAGTTTGAAAAGATCTCATTAAATTTAAATTTAAATTTGGTGAGACTTGATTTCTTATTTCAAACTGAGTATCAAAATCATTATCATAAAAATAAATTTGAGAATATCTAGGCAATTCAGATACTGGTCTCAAAGAACCTTTACTATGATATACAGCTCTATAAATTTTAAAGACCCAAGGCTTATCTTCTTGTATCATACTATAATCCTGATTTACTCCTAAAGATATAAATTCAAAAGCAGAATTATAGAATTATATTTTTTGAACATATCTCTTATTAGTATTAATGTCCGATTCAGTTAATAACTGTAAAATAGCTGGTGGAGGAGGTTCAAGCAATGCTAATTGAATTTTGCTATTTTTGCAACAAAATCCTAATGTTTCAAATTTCCACTTTAAAGCTTGACAATAATTACATCAAATATTCATATTGTCAAGCTTATACTGCCATTCTAAAAGATCAAATCTATTTTCTCTTTCTATAGTAAAATTATCTAAACTATATTTTGTAATATTTCTAGATGAGGTTTCTTGTTGTGTTGTATTTGCTGCTCTTTGGTGTTGGTGTTGAATTCTATCAGTTTCTTGTCTTTGTTGTTGTTGCTATGGGGTTAATTGTTGTTGATACTCTTGTTGTCTAATTCTATTAGATTCTCTTCTTTGCAAGTTTGGTAATAGATCAAAAGAAGTTGATTCATTAAAGAATTCAGCAAGTGTTGTTGAAATAAAAGATTGAGAGCCACCAGATGCTGATACTGATTCCAAACTTGCTATTGCTGGAGTTGTTGCTGAGGGTGTTGCTGGTTGTTGTCGAGGTTGTTGCTAAGATAATTGCTGGGATTGTTGTTGAAGTTGTTGCCAAAGTTGTTGCCAATAGTGTTGTTGAAGTTGATATTGCAGATGTAGTAGTAGATGATGGAACTATATAACCTGGATTATCTCTATACCATTTAGTAGCAGCTTTGCGTCTAGCTTTTAATCTTCTGTATTTAACTGGTTCTTCTTCTGAGGGATCATTGGGCAATGGATATGCATATTGTGGAAAATTTGTAATATAGTTGGTGGATATGTACGTTTACATGGCATATAAATCTAAAAAAAAAAGTAAATATAATATATAAAAAATAAAAAATAAAATTTAAGATTAGTAAATTTAATTAATATATATGCTAGCAAATCGCCACTTTGCTATTCACAGTAACAGCACTACATATATATTAATCAAGAAATTTATAAAAAAAAAAATCAACATATATAATAGCAAATCGCCACTTTGCTATTCACAGTATCAGCACTATATATATATTAATAAAGAAATCTATAACTAAAATATAAAAAAATAAAAAAATCAAAGAGGTGTGGCGACTTAGTGTAGTGGTCTAGTCGTCACTCTCTCCAAGTGGCAGGTCTAGAATTCAAATCCCACGGACGACGAATTTTGAAAAATAGCCTGTGTTACAGTTTACAGTTGTCGATTATTGGTTGGATCTAGAAATCTGTAATCTCAGTCATACCATCTAGTTATGGGAGCTTTGGTGCAATAAATCCGAGGAACCGGAATAACCGAAAACCCATTTGGCAAGTTCCGTAGTAGTGATCTATGACAGTACTACAGGAGGGCTGAATTCGAACTGGGGCCCGAGATCAGAGAACCGAGCGACCAGGTCCTAATGGCGAAGGACACACCAGCCAAACCGCTGGGTTGTCGCACCGGAGGAAAAAGGTATACGCTACGAAAGTATGGACCAAGGGGAGGGTGTCCTTCAGGTACCTAAAGCCTGAGCAGACCAACCCTTCAGGGTTGCTGGCTGAAAGTAAGGGAGGGACCGGTAAAGAATCCGGGTAAGAAAACGGTCTAAATGTGGGGTACTGGGATTGCTAGAAACCAAAACAAGGGCAAGGAGTACGTAATGGGCGCCTAATTAGGAAGGTTGGTGCTTGAGAAACGTCTGTAGAATGGCAGCACCCCAAAAGGTGGCATGAGATACGAATACGGAACGGCAGGTCAATATGTACTAATTAGGAAGAAGTTATAGGAACAAGCATGTGAATACATGTGTGGGACATATACCGCTGTGTTAGGTTTACCTCGAGGATAGTTAAGTGTTCTAAGGTAGGGTGCGAAATCCATATTGGGTGATACCAAAATCTAGCATATGAATAGTGAGGAAACCCATAGGGTTAGAGGGCTGATGAAGGTAGTTAGAACCAGATGGTTTAAATGAGTACCCCCTAGTTGGGGTGCAGGTATGGCTGATAGTGTAGAACCTTCGGGCAGACTACTTAAATAGGCACTCAAAAGGTGCACATGTGGCTTGATGTACAATTGTTGTAATTATATATAAAACTTCGTCTATACTTTAATAAAAAGTTCCCCAGACTAAAGAGGTCACCTTAATACCAAAAAAAATAAAAATAAAAATAAAATAAAAAAAATAAAAATAAAAATAAAATAAAAAAAATAATAAAAAAAATAAAACACAACAAAGAGAAAAAATGGAGTCTTTATATAATGTTTTGTTCAATCCTGAAAAGGAAACTCAATTTGATTTTAACAGAAAGACAAATACTAACACCAATGATACCTTTACATTTGATTGGTGTTCATATGAAAGAGTAATGGAAATGATTCTATCTGATGAAGAAATAGATGATGAATTAATTGAAAGTAACAAATCATTCGAGAGTAATGATAACGAGACAGAAATAATTGAGAAGGAGCATAACATGCTACTTCCTTTTGAGATTGAGTGTTCTACAAAATTTACAAATTGTGTTGTTATTGATAATGAAATTAGCAATAAGTCAACTAAAATTCAAAAATGCAACAGTGTGGGGGTTCGAAGTGTAAATCAACTATCAGACACGTGTGAGGTTAACTCTCAAACTGTAAAAGAAGTTGATAATGAGGTCTTATAGCTAGGTATTTGTATACGGCATTACAATTATGACCTAAAATATTTACACCTGGGTGTAAGAGACAAACTATCTACAGAAGAAAGTATAATTACATCACGTCGCTGTCTTCTTTGTAACAAAATAAAATATTTTTTTACAAGAGGTAGAACATGTTTATTCTCACATATTCGAAAAGTTTGTGGATGTATTATCCAAGTTCCATGCCATGGATTATACAATTGTCTAGCAATTACTAATTATGAAGGTCTGTCAACTGAACCATTAGAAAATGAAAAACCTTGATTTATTTGTACAGACTGCTTCATTACACACAGAGGCCACTTGCATGTTCGGCCAGAGATAAGAAAAAAACTGTTACATGTTTAGACCGAGAAGAACATAATACAGATATTACACTTGCCTTGAAGCTATTCAATAAATAAATTGAACAGGTTTCTGAATCAAATAATAGTTTTTTAAAAGTTAATCTGTTAAAAGAACTCGTCAAAGTGTTTAGCAACATCACACCTAATACTCTTGAGAATACTGTCGTTATACCTTCCACTATTTATTCAGAGTCTATAGTGCCTAGTTTTTTTTTAATTAAAACAGCATTTGCTATTAAAAAAGTTGATATTAGTGAAAAGAAGCAAGCAACACAATTAAAATCTACTACATGCAACGAATTTGGAAAAACATTTGCTCATTCTGTATTACAAGAATGATTGGAACTCAAACAAAGATTACCTTTACTTGAAGAGCTCAATTCACTAGATGAATATCATGATGCTATGCTATCATCTCTTGTAAACTTCTTTTTTGGCCTTATTTCAACTCTAATAGAAAATAAAAATAAGCTATTGGCTAGAAAATGAAAAGAACGAGGCTTGCCACTACCGCAATTAGATGAAAAAAAAATCAAAATACATTCTTTTTTTTCTCTTCAGTGCTACTTACTATTGCCTTTCCTAATTGGAAAATTTGGTTTACCCATGTGCTTTCTTCTTTTTGCCAAAGGCCAAGAATGATTGAATATTTGTATAAAATTCTTCATGCTATTCAGGTTGTAGTACATGTTAGAGACCATGAAGCAAGTATTCAAAAAAAATGGATGTTAGCTACAAATCCTCGTTCACGACTTCTTGACCTAAATACAAATCTGAATGTTTTAAATCTTGCAGTCATAGATAATATTGATATGAAAGACAAGATACTTCAATATAGTAATATTTACAAAGTAGTTCGTGCTACTGCACATACAACATTGCGCATTGTTTTTAGTTTGAGAATCCAGAGCCTCCCAACTTTGAACAATTTGAAATTCAAGATCTTTTTGGTATAAGCCCTATAATGAAAGCATGGAATATAAAAATAGATGAGATTTTTAGTCGATTAGTTAATCAAGAACAAACATTTGGTATTGAACAAATCAATACAGCTCTTAAAGAAAATGTTGAATCGGTATCATTTTCAACACCACCAAATGTTGTAATTCTTGAAGCTAGAGAAGCACCAAGCAAAAATGAGAATGTTCATCAAGCCATAGATATGTATATAGAAGATTTTGGGTATACAGAAAATGGTGTATTAAATTTGGTATGTGATGAAGCAATATATTGTTGTATGAGAAACTACAAAAATGAAGAGCAAGAAGTGTGTAGCATTTTAGAACAATGGCACACAAGTAAGACAATGTGCAGTGCATTAATTGTCGCTTTTTCAGAATATGGGCTTTTTGGGCTTGCTGCGCAACTTGGTTGAGAAAAATGATCAACATTCCGGGTATTAGAACTTATTTGGGTATATGTACAAGAAAATAACATTTCTGCAGAAGACAATAACTTATTAAAAGTTTGGTATAACTTTTACCGGTGGGCAGAATATTTAAAATTGCACAAACTTGGAATTCGCATAGCAAATTTTGACTTGCAAATGCATAGTTTAATGGCATTTGCTCCTTTATTTCCAGTAACAAAAAGAGTAAGATATACTGAGTCTGTAGCACGATTTTTAACAGATCTCCAACGCAAACCACAGTTACTTCAAGATCTTTGGCAGCGTCTTCAATAAATATAACTCTAGAAGAGAGTTCTTATACTCATAATGAAGCTTTAGAAACACTTGTAAGATATATAAAAGAAAATATGATTGAACATAAAGCTGATTTAGAAAATCTAAACCAAAATATTAAATCAACACAAGCAGAAGATGAACAACTTAACTTCTTAATTTCTAAGTTCACTGAAGATCGGTTAGTAAGCAAGAATCCACGAGTTGTTAAGGATCGGCAAAAAGTTCTCTGGAAATTGATTAATGAACTTAAAGCAGGATTAAGTAACCCACAGCCAAAATCATATATATTAATTATAGAAACAACACAGTTGACAACAGCTGGCTATCAATGAATGTTTCACTGTTACCAATCAGGAATTGACAAAATGAATGAGGTTGCTGCACAAATTAATCGTAATGCAGCTGTTAAAGTAAAAATGAAACATGATAAACTGGATCTAATACCTATGAAAGTAGCAAAAAAAAATAAAAAAAATGTTAACCAAACAGAAACAATGGATGTAGAAGAAATAGACAATAGTTTTATTCATACTTCAGAATTACATGGCATGGATGTTGATGAAATAGACCAAGACTCATACTCAGCATCATTGTCTAAAACTAATCTGCCTTCTGAAACTAACCTGTCTTCTGAAACTAATTCACCTTCTGAAACTAATTCATCTTCTGTATCCAGGCCTCAAAAATTATATTCAGTACACAAAACTGAACCTGAAGAAAAAAACATCTTGAACCAACTTGAGAGATATGGAAGCTCTTCTTTTTTGTCTGAAGAGTTTGTCGATAAGCTAGTGAAAGAGTTATCACTATATAACTATTAGACGTCAAAGCGAATTCAAGATCGGTGGTATAACTGATATAAAAGATCAAAATAAATTACTTTAAATTTATAAATTATATAATGTTAAAACAAAAAATATTAATAAAAAGAACAATTACCTAAACATGTTTATAAATTTGCAATATAATTTTTACTACAAAAAAAAAAAAAACTTATTAGCAAAGATTACAATCTATATAGTATAAAACAGTTTTTCTTGATTTTCTGTATAATGGTTCTAATATAACAACTCTTTGCAAATGCATTTTACTAAAAGCTCTTGCTCATAAACATC